TGCAAAAACAGCCAATATGGTGTCTAAAACGTAAGTCTCTTAATAAAACTTCTAGTTTATTGAACTGTTGTAAAAAATCAATATCACATTTGTATATGGTAATTTTTGGAGAAAAAAAGGCACTCTTCCGTGTGAACTTGAGTATAAATATACACATTTTCTGCCCCCATGTCTTGAATTTGTGATCATTCTGAATGTATTTTAATAGACTGAATCATGCAGTGATCAGGCAGCGCGCTAGACTTCACGTAATGCGTGCACTGTAGGTGTTTTGAATGTTTGTTTTTTTTGCGTTGTGAGAATATTGAGTAAAATAGCTCACTTGTCATGGTGTTATTTACCTATATCATGTTATGAATAAACTAAACATTTTGAATTTTTACCTCAGTGTGTTTCTTCTGAGTTTGTGTGCTGTCACGCTCATTTGTTCTGAAGTCTCGAGACAAACAGAGTGAGCCTCAGCACGAGCTTGTATTCTGTATTCTGCTAACTTACTGCAATTCTCTCTGATGACGCAGTAACTTACCGTGGGGAAGAAAAAATATTCGGTCTGTCCAATGATTGTAAAGTCATTAGGTCCGTCAGACTGAAGATATTTTAGCGGTAATGAGACCAAAAATATTTAAGACCCATCAAATCCGAATTTAAGACTTTTTAAGGCCTTATATTAGGAAAACGTTATTTAAGACATTTTAAGACTTTTTAAGGACCCGCAGACACCCTGCCTCTAAAAAGCATCTTCATCAGTTAGTCAATATAACAGCACATGAATTGTGTATATGAGCATTTTTGCTGTGGGAGCTTGTCTAGTATTTTTGTCAGTATAGTGAGTTTGTTCAGTCCATTGAGTTATATAAAATAAAAATAGATACAAATTAAATTAAATTAAACTGATACATTCATTGATCACCTGGTGTTTCTGTCTGCGCTTCCTTTCCTGCTCGATCTTCTGCTGCTTCTCTAGTTTCTCTGTCATGCGTGCCTCTCTCAGCGTCTGTCTCTTGCTGCGCTTGTAGGCTTTGGAGTTCAGGGCCGTCTCTAGAGTTGTGTCTCGGCGCATGCAGGCTACAACATCTAGCCTCAGCTGAATGAGAAAAAAAAAACAATCATAGTCATCTGTAGCAAATTACTATGTTCCATTAAGCTAATGAGCTTCATCAAATGATAATCATATTCTGATGCATTTCACACATATTTTGTTCATAACTGTTGCTAAATACAGCAGAACAAGGCTGTGAATTGTGAGGAGACCGTATGCTATGAATACAACAAGGGCTCCCTCTAATGGTGAGTTCCACAGTACAGTGTACTTTGTATCACAGTCAACACATATGTGACCCTGGACCACAAAACCAGTCATAAGTTGCACAGGTATATTTGTAGCAATAGCCAAAAACATTGTATGGGTCAAAATTATAGATTTTTCTTTTATGCCAAAAATCATTAGGATATTAAGTAAAGATCATGTTCCATGAAGATATTTTGTAAATGTCCTACCGTAAATATATCAAAACTTAATTTTTGATTAGTAATATGCTTTGCTAAGAACTTCATTTGGACAACTTTAAAGGCGATTTTCTCAGTATTTTGATTTGTTTTGCACCCTCAGATTACAGATATTCAAATAGTTGTATCTCGGTCAAATATTGTCCTGTTCTAACAAACCATACACCAATAGAAAGCTTATTTATTCAGCTTTCAGATGATGTATAAATCACAATTTCAAAAAATTGACCCTTATGACTGGTTTTGTGGTCCATGGTCACATATGGCTTTTTGGCTAGATTTAAAGCAAAGAAAAGAGCACTTTTAGATAGAACCAAGATAATAATAGATGGCACTCGTGGAGGTAGGAAAACAAAGTTCTTTATGAATCGCAGATTGCTTGTAATAAAGACTTAAATGCAAAAGAAAAGGCAAGAGAGCTGACTGTTTCTATCAGTGGTACGTTTTAATTTAGAATGTTTGTGATAACGTAAGAAAAGTAGTTTAAATGTTTTGTCATTTGCTTGAGTAACTTAATATATAAATCTAGAAGTAAAATGCATTGAATAATGCGTCACTTATAAATATTGTGTAAACGTGAGTACGTTCAAAGATCGTATAACTGCACTGTGTAAAAAGACAATCACAAAGCTGATAAAGCATTTTCAGCAACAACGTTTGGATTTGGATAAACGTTGGATTTCAAAATAATGGATAAATGCTGTGTTTGTGGTAAACAGCCGTGGATCAGTAGCAGACTGCAAACGCCTGTGTGAAAGCACAATGAGTCTGTGCTGCTTCTGCACCGCATACGAACCGCACATGGGCTGCATACGCACTGCAAACGGATGTGTGAACCTGGCGTGAATTAAACATTCATAGCAACTTTGGACACCATCACAATCCACGTTATGTTAATAGGACAAAGCTTAATGGAACCCTCAAATCAAAAATATGCATGTGCAATTTTTACTTGGCTCATTGAAAATGATTTAATTTATTGTAAATCAATGGCAATGAGTGATTTTCATTAGAAGTGTCTCTCAATTTATGACTGTAATAAATGACTGGAAATATGCTTTTATGAAAATTGTATAAATTATGTGCACCAGTAAAAGTAAAAATTATTTGAGCACTTAACATTATCATTATTATTATTATTGACATTTATTAATATATATTTTTTAATGATGCATAAAAGTGTCAATAGTTTTAAACACTTTTACATATGTATGAGTCAGCATAATCTTTAATCTTACGTATATGTATGTATATATATGTATATATATATATATAGATACATATATGTATTTCCATATATGTATGTATACATATGTATGTATGTATATATATATATATATATATATATATATATATACACACCTTGCTACGTGTACTGTGTTAGGCTAACCGAGACTTGTCATTTGCACTTATATATTGTTGCTCTTTTGTTAGTTTTGACTGCTTTTATTGTCCTCGTTTGTAAGTCGCTTTGGATAAAAGCGTCTGCTAAATGACTAAATAAATAAACACTTTTATACCATTTTCAAGGAAAGTTCTAATTGTCATGTGGTGTAACCATCAGTAAAAAGTAATATTTTCTTGAAAACAAAATTGTTTAAACAGTTCAAATAAGTTTTAAAATATATTTTTTAAAGGTAAAACATTTTTTAACAAATTACATTAAATATTATTTCATAAATATCATTAAGAGTTGCAACACATGACATTAATAAGCAGTGGAGAAGATTAAAGTTTATTCTAAATAAATATTACTTAAAGTTTTCTACAATTATTTTTAATTCAAATTTTAATACAGAAATTATAAAACATGATCATCACTAATGAGGTGTACTCACTTTTTTCATAAATAGAAAATACAAAAATGTCATAATCCCACCTGCCGCTGGAAGTTAAGCAGTCTTAAGGCCTTCAGCTCCACAGTAGCTTTAGTCCGCAGATCAGGTGGCAGTGACCCTGGCAGATTCTCCAGCTCCTGAATTCTGTGAGCAATCCTGGCCTGAAGACTTTGAACACAAATGAGAAAGACAGGTGTACTGAATCCTATCACAATCTGTTTTTTTTTTTGTTTTTTTTTATGTTTGTTTTTAAGAAGAAAGAAAGTTTTAAAAAGTTAAAGCAAAAACTGTCAATCAAGCACAGATCACCAGATTATTGTTGAATAGAGATGTCTCGCAATGTAAACTTTTTAGGCAATAACAATTTCTAGTAACTTGAGAGTTCTCTATAAATCACCTGCAAGATCTGAACCTTTCACTTGGTAAAAAATAGATAGTACAGACTGTAAAAATGTATGTCTTGGTGACTTCAGGGTACATCAAACAATCAACACATTTCTGTTGTTTCAGACAGTGCAAGCCAGTGCAATCAACCAAGTTCTGAGGAACTTTCAGAAACCTCAGAGGGTTCCTCACCCTCCTCTAACATTCATTACAGCTCACAATCCCCCCCACCCCCACCCCCCAAACAACAACAATAGTTCTGCTGATATTCATCAGTGAACAACGGCTCTGTGTAGTTAATGCTGCTCAATGTGAAAGCCCGCAGGTGATGGAGATTTACGCTGATTACAGAACCGGCTTTCTGACAAGATCCGCGTTAAATATCGCATGCGATTAATCGTGCAGCCCTATATTTTACAGACAGAAGAGCAATGGAAGGTAGGTTGTTTTGTTTGAACACATACCCAAATTTTAATGTCTCACCTCCCCTAAGCTGGTCTGATCTCACACAATTTAATGTTGTTCTGAACCACATTTTGCAACATACTGTACATCTTGAGTATCACAATAAGTTTTTTTTTTTTCCATCACCTCTGCCAAGAAACAGTGCTTGAATAGTTAATAACTGTTAATATTTATTACATTTGCATTTCAACTACAAAGCTAAAGGCAAAATATTCCAACAAAGTAAATATAAGCAGTTCATTTTCGGGTTAGATTCCCTTGGTATGTAATCCACATTTGGAAGACGTCTTGTATAATGTATAAACACACTGTCTTTTAATTGGAGTGTTAAAGTCAGGGGACAAACACATTGTAAGTGTACCTCAGGAAACATCATAAAATAAAAAATGCAATTCATGACCCCTTTAGACCAGTGCAGATTTATTAGTGTTGATTTAGTTTAATTTAATTATTCATTACATACCGGTATTCCCTCTCTTGCAAGAGTTCGACAGGGTCCAGACCCTGAGGCTTCTGAATTGGTGTGATGCGATTCTGTTTCTGCTGAAGCTGGATGATGAGGGAGGGCTGGCCTGGTCCTGGTGGTGGCTGAGGTTGGGGTTGGGAGGTGAGGGAGGTGCTGGGCACAGGTTGTGTGCCAGTGGGGGCCAGCGGGGGAGCTGGAGAGGGTCTGCCACTGGGAGCTGGGACCAACAACTTCTGTTGAGCGCCGGGGGTCTCTGAGCCTTGACCTGAAAATAAAGGAGATGCTCTTTGTGAACGTCTTGTGAGATTTATCAGAATGTCATGTCTGTCAAAGAAATGCTCCTGAATGCAAAAAAGCATTAAGCTTCCAGTCATCCATAATGCTGTTGTCAGTACAATCAATATAATGCGCCATTATGAAACAACATAAGTAATCTCATTTATATTTCAGAAGCCCATTGTCATTAGGATTTTTGATCGTACTCAAAGAGTTCATCAAAGCTGCTGTTGACGGTTTTAAGAGTTCAAAGCACAGTGTGAACTGATGGCCACCTCTGATCTGAAAAATCTTTACAAGGACTCATATGACCTGCTTCAAGCCAAGTTCAATGCCTTTAAAGAAATTTCATAAAGGGCATGCAATCCTTAAATGAGAACATAAACACAAGAAATGATACAAGAGCATGTTCAGAAGAAAAATAAAGTTTCTGGATTTCTGGCTGGATACAATCAATCAGTTGCTGAACCTGCCATGAGGGCATTCAATGTCCCTAGTCATTTCATATTGTGAAAAAAAATGCAGTGAAAATGTCAATTGACCTGAGGTGGTGCTTATTATCTTCCACAAGTTCAGCCAATAAGCAGTGCATCAGAATTAAACCAGGCTGACTCACGAATCAAGTTCACTTGAAAAGAATGATCTTTAATTTGTGTGAACTTCAGTGACTTTTCCATGCAGATCTAGCAATCAGTGAAAAAACGTACTGTCATTTGAAAGCATATTTATTAGCCAGGGGATTTAACCTCTGTAAGGTTGCATCTTGGCATTTGTTTAAAAGTCATTTTCAAAGTTTAACTCATATGGAGCATTTTGACCATGTTTATGTGCACAAGAATATTATATATAAATATGAATTTGCTCATATTTCAGCAGTATCTGGAGCAAATAGAAAACAACACTTCATTACAAACAAACATTAAAAGAAATTAACAAATCAATATACAGATGGATAAAAAGCACTGCAAAAGTCTTGTTTTCAGGAAGGTTACTGGCTTACATTCACAATTCATCTTTGAGTCGACATAAATGTTGACATAAATAGTACATGTACAGTATACAGAAATATTCCAATAGCATGTTAATGTCTTTTTCAGGCTTAACCAGAATATGTACCCTTGAACTGGAAGACAGGCTGCACAAAAGCATCTGTGACTAGAAGACTGTGTATGAAATTTCATATTTTCTGTCGACCGGAAATATGTCATTTGATCTAGTGTTGGTTGGGTCAGCACACATGTAAACAGGCCCCTCAGCTATCACCAGTGTTGTTATTGTAAACATAAACTATTTTCATTCATTTAAAAAAATCTGAAATAAAATAAAATATAAATATTAGATGAAAATTTAAAATTGACCATCTTGCCTGACATGCTGGGGTAGGCTCCAGCATCTCCATGGCCTTTCAGAGCATAGGTTTGAAGAATGGATGGATAGAGGAAAAAAAACTAAGTAATTTCTAACTAAATTAGAAATGTTGCCTTGGCAACTAGCTGAAAAAAAAAAAAAGAAAAGTTGAAGTTGAAGTACTACAATTACTGAAACTAAATCTGAAATAAAAATAAATTAAAAATAAAACATTATATAAAAAAAAAACTATTAAAAATAACAAAAGAACATAACAAAATTACTAAAACTTAAAGTTAAAATGAAAATATAGAAATAAAACCTAATTCAATATATTTCCAAGAACTAAAATAGTATATAAATGATTTTAAAATTATTCAGTTGATGGCCATAAATTGCATTTTGCTTCACTGTGCCATTAGGTGGAATGTAGAGTATGTAGAATGAATGTAGAATGTGGCTACCAGTAGCTGCTCGCATTAAATTCAAGGCATTAATGTTTGCCTACAAAACCACCACTGGCTCTGCACCCATTTACCTAAATTCATTACTTCAGAGTTATGTGCCCTCTAGAACCTTGCGTTCTGCAAGTGAACGGCGTATTATTGTGCCATCTAAAAGAGGCACAAAATCACTTTCACAGACTTTTTCATTAACTGTTCCCTCCTGGTGGAATGACCTGCCCAAATCAATCCGAGCAGCTGAGTCCTTAGCCATCTTCAAGAAACGACTAAAAACACATCTGTTCCACCTTTATTTGACCCTCTAACTCTAACACTTTCTATTCTATTTTAATTCTACTTTATCTATATTTATCTTCTTTTTTATTTTTTTTAAAAACAACAAAAAACAAACAAACAATAGCTTTCTATTTTTTCTATTCTATCTACTTGTTTTTCTTTGTGCGTGTGTGTGTATATGTACAGTATGTATGTATGTGTATGTGTGTGTGTGTATATATATATATACAGTATATTGCTACGTGTACTGCGTTAGGCTAACCGAGACTTGTCATTTGCACTTATATATTGTTGCTCTTTTGTTAGTTTTGACTGCTTTTATTGTCCTCATTTGTAAGTCGCTTTGGATAAAAGCGTCTGCTAAATGACTAAATGTAAATGTAGAGATGCAACTGCTTAAGATTAAATACATCCCACACTCACCTTCAGGCCATGGTTTTGGCCCAGAGCTCTGGGTATGAGTCTGCATTGCTGGAGAGGGACACGGGCCCGTTGCAGGCCCTCCATGAGTCACTGGCATACCTAGCGAAACAGCACGAGATTGAATAATAATTAAGAAAATTGCATTAAAAGTATTCCTTACAAGGTGACGGATTTTGTATAGAATATCATCAGTTCCAATCAGCCTTAAAACATCATAAAAATACAAATACAAGAAAAAACTGCACAACTGTAATTTGGACTGCACAAGGACTTGGACTTATTGACTAACACCGAAAATGACCATAAGTATAATCACCTAGAGGTCTGTTGTAGGGGCCAGTGTTGACGGGCTGCTGCTGCATGGTGGGGAGGCTCCTCTTGCCCTGCACTGCTAACTGCAGATTCTCAGGCAGAGGCTGGCCCCGGCCCAGGATCTTGTACGCCAGGATCTGAGCCCTGAGTTGCTGTAGCTGAACTGGGCTAAAGGCAGACTGACCCCTGGCTTGCTGTACCATCCCCTGTGGATCCATGGGCATCATGGGTGACTGACCCTGAGACATTTGTGGTGGGGTCGGCCCTCCTCCTGACATAGGGCTAGGCACATGCTCTGGCACCTGGCCCATTGGCGAGGGATGAGGGGACATGTAGCCTAAGAAGCACAAGCAGAAAAGATTTATAAAGTTTATTGGTGTCAAAGGTGTCATTTAAAAGTGCACTCCTTTATTAATCACAGCCACACAAAAATTCTTTTATTTTTCTGTTGTTATTTATTATTATTATTTTTCTGTCTGTCTTTTGTCTTTTTTTCTTTTTGTAGAATAAATCAATTTCAATAGGAATCAACATGCTTGGGAGTTCTGCATAAGGGTGAAAAAGTTCCCCACAGATTTCACTCATGCAAATGCAAATTTACCACATCAACCAACAGAAAGCTGCTTGGTTTGAAAGTCACTTCTGTGTGAGCTGTGCTTCATGCATCTCTACGTGATTGACAATGGTTTCTTTGCTTTTTTGCCCACTAAATATTGCTGAAATTTCATTAACCACTGACCTCACGTTTACACCGTGTCTACACCGGATGCGAAAGCTGTGCCTTGTGGCAACAGCTTAAGGCTGTCTACACTGAATGCGACCGTTGCAAACCATTTGTACTTTGTGTCAGTACGTGATAAATAGAACGAGGCATCAGTTTACTGTCGGGCATTTGTCATGTCGCACCACATCCAGTGTAGACAGCGTCACTGATTATAATGGGTTCTACTGTCTTTTGTCGCGTCGCATCGTGCCACCCATGTCCAGTGTAGACACTGTGTTAGGCTACCATCAACAATTCAATAAACTTTTAAACTATATTTCCGTTAAACAGTCCATTTATGTTAATTGCAGAACCTTTAATTATGAACATTTATAGATATATTTAGGACGGTAAAAGGTACATATCAGAGAATAGTTTGAGTGAAGAGAGTAAAGTACAAAGATCTTAGCTATTAGCATATGAGGATAATTAGTGTAACATAAAGACAGACCCAAAGACAAGTGCACGAAAAAATTTTTCAATAAACACTGTCAGATAATCACCTTAATTACCTCTGAGGCCAATGTAGACTTACCTCCTTCAATGGCAGAAGAACAAGATATTTCATAACTATAGTTATGGTTAAAATAATAACCGCTGAGTGCTTTGTTATTATATTGTAGCCTATATGTAATTGTACCTTGACTGTGTTGATCCATAGGGCTCTGTGGAGGACCCATGCCACTGTGCAGGGATCTCATGCCCACCCCCTTCATTTGTCCATAGTGCATATCCTCTCCCATCCCCTTCTCATGCATTCCCTCCATAGGCTAAACAGAGGCAGGAGATTAGTCATACATGCTACTGGCATACTGGCAACTTCAAACATACCGTTTGAAAATGAACCTACAACAGGGCTTTTTCATTTATTTATATGCATTTTTCTGTTTTGCATTTACTGGACAACTATTGATCAATTTTAATATAATCAATCCCAAAAGCCATCCTCTACCTTATGCATTGGGTGGATGTCCTGTGAATAGTCTCCAGCCCCTTGGCCCTGCATAGCATGCGGGACACTTGGGGGCCCTGGACTGGGGCCCATCATGCTGTGTACAGAGCCAGGAGAGGGGCCGGGTCCAGGGCTGGGCCCTAGGATGGGCCCCGGAGACAGGCCAGCACCTGGTGAGGGACCAGCATGGGGTATCCCAACCGGTGGTTCGTTGGGGGTGGACATCTATCGACTGAGAATCTGTGGAAAGGAGGGACAAAAACTTGAACCTACTGTTAATGATAAGAGTCTCACTATTGTCCAAAATACCAAACATTGTTTGACATCCCAAATGACTACATTTTTCATTTGCTCAATAAAATATAAAATATAAAGCAAAATAATAAAAAGTTAATTATATTTAAAGTCAGACATATTTTATGAAAAGCCACTATCAATTATATTATATTAATATATATTTATATATTATATACATAATTATATTCTATAATGTGGCAAGTTGCTACATTGTTTTTTTTTAAAGCTACAGTTAGGCTAATAATTTAAATTAAATTCTGATTATTAATATATGAAACTATGCACAACATTTGTCATCTTTTATAATAAAAAGGCAGTAAGCCAAGAGAGGCCGTGCATTACAGTCTCTTGTTTCTTATTGCATCATTATATAAGTTCTATCATAATAAGGAAATGTATCCTGTATTGTAATATTTCAGGAACCACATTTTTGAGTAATGAATGTCTTTTTCCTGCCCTGGAAAACAGAATTTTAAAGTTCCTGAATTTTACATGTTTTCCATGACTGTGGAAACCCTGACACTTATTATGAAGTAGTACCAAGAGGAAAAAGGGCTAAACAATTTTTATTAAATAAGTAACATTTATATCTTAATTTTACTTTATTGTTATCATTGATGACGATGATTACAATAATAATAATAATAATGAACTCGCCCACACACATAAACATACATTTTTAAACAACTTACATTGGTTTTCTAACATTACTTTATTGTTAAATTGCTTTATTATTGTTGCAGGTATTGCTGGTATTAAGAAGAACACTCGCCCGCTCACATAAAAGAAACAGAGAGGCCTGAAATAGAGTCGATTCAAATGTAGGCAAACTCTTCCAGTGTTATTTGCATAACAATAAGCCGCGCTGATCTCTGACACTCCCACCCGAGCAGCGTTTCTGGAATCGAGCAGGATCACAAGACGCCAACAATGACGGTAAGGGGTTAAAAATAAAATAAAATAAAAAATAAATAAATAACATGCACGGGGTCAGATAATGATAATGGTACTCGTTTATCATGTGAAGACACGTTAACATTTAATTACACACCCTATTGAAAATTACAGTAATTATTCGTATCTATGAACGATTTGAGTTCATTCAGGCAAAACTATCCAAACGGAAAAACTAGGAATAAACAATTAATCCATTGTGAAATGCACAAATGCGCTCGGGCAGGCCTATGCTTACTGTCCAAAGCAGAATGATGAAAACTTTAAAAAGCAACCAATAATTAGGAGTGGTCAACGTCACCCGTAATATCATAAGAAAACCGCTTATTTAAAAACAGAATAATTGCAATGAATCCGTAAATGCACATATAGCTCGGCGCAGGGGTGTAATTTGGAGGGAGTTGCTCTGATCATGGCTTCCTCGACCTGCTGTCACGACCGTCTCCCCCTCACGCCATTGCAGTTTCCTGAAATCTCAAACTTTCTGGGACCTTCCCACCACATCGCACTACCAATGCACATTTATAACAGCCGTTCATTTTCCTGGCATTACAAACAGTTTTGCATTTTTAGAAAAGCAGTTTATTCACCTGCATTTATGCTGTCAAAGTTAAAATCAAGCAAGCAGTAAAGCCCCGTCTCAGATAATTGAGCAGCAGCTCGCTAACCGTCTGTACAGTTATGTTAGCATGCTAGCCCGCGACATTTTATCTGTAAAAATGCCCCTAACAAAATGCTCCCCACTGACATATATACATCAGTATAAATGTCCAAGCAAAGAGTATTTAAACTCAATTACCTTCTGCGAGGTAAACAACACACATAAGAGGTCTAGCACATTATTTCAGCTTCAAAAATATGACTGCCATATGTTGGTCCCCTCCCCCTCTGTTTTGCTGACAAGTTGAAGTTCGCGTTTTTTAGTGTTTTGACATTTCTGATTCGTTGAGAGCGCCGGAAATACAGTCGTCTCTGTCGTGTAATTGGCTGAGCAACACATCGATCACCTCGTGGTATGTTTAGGGGCGGGGCTTTTCAAGCACACTTTCGCTTCACAGCGCCGAAGGTGCTGGAATTCTCGCCTGTCCGCCGAGGCGTTTGGGGACACTAGCTGCAAAACGATCATGTTTTCACTCGCTCACAGGACTGACTGTGTTGTATTCACGGCCTGTGTGAGCCCATATTTATCTGAGGCGACATGAACAGTTTTTTCTGTTACTACACTACGGATGAAGTGACTCCATGCATTGCATTATAGGTTGCATAAGCAAGTTGTTGCTTGCTAAACAATGCATTTTATTTGCTCTGTAAAACAAGTGTGATAAATGAAAATGTATCTCGTACTTCAATTAGTCGTAACAACAATTGAGTCATTGTTGGACCGAAAATGTACTCCCAGTGAAATAAAAACTCCTCTGCTTCTGATTGGTTCATACACATGGGAGGCTGTATCTGATTGGTCTTATCACTAAAGCCCACCCCACACCTAATCATAACCACTTTCAGCGTCAAAAGCTTCTTAATTAGAAGGACTACTATTCCAAATCACCATATTTTTGCATATCATATGGGTAACGAATGTTAATAATAATGTTAAACGAATCCCTCATGTTCCTGAATGTCAGCTTATGTGGCAAGGTGTCACATGTTTATAGATTTCACAGTTTATTAAAATATTTGTTGGTCAAAATGGTTTCTTTTGGACGTTACTTTTTACTTTTTAAGTTATTTTGTATTTCCTTTTACTGTTTAAAAATGATCTGAGAAAAGCCTATACTAGACTGTTTAATGTGTTAGACGTAATAGAGTGTTTAACGTGTAGGTTTTACGTGTAACTAGTAGATCTTTTGGTGTAAAAAGTGTGATGAAACTGTAGTTTTGTGATGTAACCACAAGAGGGAGCCAGTGCTTAAGAATTCAATAAGGTTCCAGTCCAATCCATGCAAATATAGCTATGAGTCAGTCAACAGGCAGTTCATGCGTTGACATTAATACATTGTAACTCATTTATATAATAAGTAAATTTATGATCTAATTTGCTAACCAATTTACCAAATTGCTGTACCATCATTCATTATTACCATCCAATAATGCACATAAATGTGCAAACAAAATGACCTATTATTAAAATAATAATAATAAAATAAACATAATTCATGTAGTTATTGTTTAATACGGTAGATTTCAGATTGTCTGTTCTGTGTAAAAATAGCCACAACAATTAATCTACATTTACAATCATGTTCTTGGCATTTTTTTTTTCTTGGCATCTTAAAATACAGGTACAGATACAAGTGGTGTTGAGTGCTTGAGAGATGAAGGTTAAACCACAAAGCTGTAAAAACAACAGTATCAGTGCTGTCATAGTATTACTATACTGCTGTTTAGCAAAACAAGAGGGCTGACTATATTAGGTTAAGGTTTTCTGAAGATTTTCATACCTTTTTCCCCCTCCAGAACCAATGTTCTGATTGGGTAAGCCAATATAGACAATTTGCTAATACAAAAATATCCGACTGGCCCTCAGTTGTACCTGAGGGACTTATGCAAATCAGTTTGCATTCTATTGTTCTGAATGAAATCGTTTCTATAGATTTATTGGTAGGGTTAAAATAGCTTTTAATACTAAGTGAGTGAGCTGTCTAGTTTATTGCACTTCTCTTGTGTTGTTACTGCTGAAGGTTGAATGTTTTAGGTATAGAAAGTAGTAGAAAGTTGGTTTAATTTATAACGTAATTGTCACATAAATTGTTTAGACTGAAAAAAGCTGATTGTATCTTGTTTGTTATGATGAAATCAACATTGTATTCTAGAATCCTTCACATTTATACAAAGTCAAGATTAACCTGATCTGCAGTATTAAAATTAAAATACTTAAAAACAGAAATTTAATTTAAACTAGTTGTGATTAGATTCTTTGTTTTAAACAAACAACAAAAAATAACAATTTCATCATAACAATTGATTATACTAATTATACAGTTAAAATATCTAAAATGTACTGAAATGATACATTTGTCTTTTGGGTAGTAATCATGTATTTACAAATTGTAACAGCAGTCCTGACAAAATGTAATTTGGGTTGCAGTGTAACCTTATCGCCCATCAGCTTTCTCTGACACCTGGCTGATGCTATCAGATGAGATAGGCATGTTGTTGATTGTGACATGTTGGGATGACAGATTGTATTCTTATGGCTGTTTCTCTTATCAAGTCAATTCCAACCGCACGGTAAAACAAATGGCTCTTTGTCACACAGGTGGAGATTTTATTTTCACTGCGCACACAGAGTAAGCATAGAACATGATTCAGGGATTTTCACAAATAAATTTAAAAAAAATTATTAAACAACTATGGCATAATTGATTTTTGTCCAAAAGTTTTAAACATATACTGCAGATTATATAGAGCTATTTTACTGTATTTGCAATCACCTTTTAATATAAGAGATAAATAACCACAAAACGAATACAAAATCACAAAGAATTCAAGATGTAATGTGCAGTCTGTAATGTTTGTATGGAAATAACATTGTAACAATGTATTCTTATAATCAGCAAAGCAATTAAGCGCATAACCATGACTTTGAACTAAACCATTAATATTGTTCTATTTTCTCGATTCTGATCAACAATAGGCAGATAAGTCAAATGAATCAAATCAAATCTTGTTGGACTGCAAGGCACTAACTAAAGGTTGTATTTGAATAGCCTTTGGACAGGTAAACAAAGTGTATGGTTTTGGCTCTGTCTCTGCTTCCTTTCCTCAGTAATCCTTTATGTTCTTGCCATTTTCAAAAAAGAATGTGTGCAAGGTTCCTGAATGTAAATTCATCCAAATAAAGCCTCCAAATAGCCTGAATGGTTAGTGCCTCCACTTCAGATTCACTGGTCAGGAAAGACCAGACCAGCGTTCAGTTGACATGGAAAATGACTGGACAGTGGTTTCAAAATCAATTTCCCTTAAAAGCATTACCTCCTCCGTCAGCCCACCATGAAATTTGCCCACTGTCCAAATTAGGGCATGCGTAGTCGCCTAACCTGTACTCATCCTATAGTCAGGTGATCAGTCACTATGCATATTTGAATTAGTCAAATATGTTAAATGACACTTAGCAGCTTAACGCCAAGTGATTAAATCTCAAATATGCCTTTCAACTACCAGCTCAAATGAGCACAACAGTATAAACACATATAGGCTTTTAGCTTTATGGAAATTGGCCTTATAATAACAATCCCATGTGCATTACAATAGGCCCAAGTGTTTTAACAAATGTATTGTATTCACAAAAAGACCATTTTAGCTCTTGCGGGCGTCGCATGAACACATCGGTTATTACAGTCGCCACGGCAGTATCGGCATTCACCACGCTCTGTATTTGCACAGTGGCCACAACTAAATATATACGTATATATATATCATAGATTGGAGCGGCTTTCATGGGCTGCTTTGGCTAATTGCCTGTGTTTTCCAGGTGTGACCCAACCAAAGGCACGTTATATTTAGTTTTACATGTGACATCTGTTTCGGGGGCTTGTTTGTTTTGTACGTGGTGCTGTTGGTATTCTGAGCGTCCCAGGTGGATAACTTTCCTTATTAAGCCTTTCGTATTTAAATAAAGCCACACGGCAAAGGGGTCTGTCGTGACCCATTACACTTTTGAATTTTTTGTTATTGACACCCAATATGCCTAAAACAAATATCAGTTTGTGGAGGATACTTAAAAGTTAGAATATACTCATATCATGTTTCAATGCACGACACTCACTGGAGCCAGGCCCTATTGTTTTTCAGGCATAAGTTGTGGCCTAATGAACTGGAGTTATTTTTATCATGCTACAGACACTATATATGTCTGTTCTTGTGAAAATAAAACATCCAGAGATACAAATGAACCTGTCAAGCACCTCTAAATCTGACTTCTTCAATCTAAGCAGTGTCCGTTTTGTCCATCCATGGCAATGAGCGGTTTCTTAAAGATCCCTCTTGGCCAATTGGTACATCCTTTTCTTTTTATCTTGCACATTCTGACCAGTGTTTATTCGCTCCTCTGTCATCCCCTTGAAAGTGGAACTCAGCCAGATTGATCCGCAGGTGTGGGACACCTTCCATCACTTGACCCTTTAATTTCACTGCTACGATACTCGATTTGCAAACCCTGGGATTTTTAACAGGCTCTTGGGACCAGCATCTGATAAAGAGCAGCGCTGGAAATCTTTTTCCAAGATGGTGCGGGATTCCAGAGGGGTCAAGATATAGGCTGGGGGGAGGAAGCGCTGTCAGTGAGGCCTCTTTGTAGTTGCCTTTGTTGCAGGTGTTCTGCCACTCACTATTATCCTCTGCTGTTTATTCATCATGCATCACCTGCGTGACATCTGCTAAACTAAGACACATTACTATCAAGGAAGAGACTCTGCACTAAAAATACAAAGAATCTACAAAATTAGGTCCATGATTTCTTGTATCTTTTCTCTCTGTGGACCATAAAAGAAAATATTTTTAGAAATGTCTCTGTGTTTTTAAACCCTATGATGGAAGTCAATGGTACCAACATTGTTCAAAATATTTTTTTTTTCATGTCACACAGGGAAAAAAAACGTTTTTGTGTGAACTAGGCTGTTCTTTTAACATTTAAAAGCAGGGTCACCAAAATATTTAAAACTGTAATGAATTATCGTATGATACGATACGATACGATACAATATACTTCATTTTCCCTTTAGGGAAATTTTTCTTGGGCTTAATGTATGCTGCATTTTCAAATCACACAATAAATACATAGCTAAAT